TCTGGTGTTCCATACTTTGATACGCTCAGTATTTCTTTGAAGTGAGAATTTCTTTCAAGCTCTGCTTTACTAATCTCTCAAACATTCGGTTTTTCTGACGGCTTAGTATTAACTTCTTGAAATAAAATAGGACCATGTATCGGTTAGGTTCTCTGATTCCATCTCTTGGTGATTTCTTTCTGATATGTAGTTCTTGCCTTATTTTCTCAGTGTAAATGATACTAAAGTCCTCCGAGGAAATGGAATAATGTTTCACAGACCATACTTGTTGTGGAATGTGTGTACTCAGCTTAGTTCAAACATTGTGTACATTCTCCCCCTAGCTATAGACCAGGGGTGGGCAATAAAGTGGCAGTGTTTTTCCAGGGTTAGCCTCTGGTTGGCCACCACCACTGTATTTACCTGTGCCTCCGCAGATACAAGCAATTGCAGCTCCTGTTGGCCGTGGATTGCTGTTCCCAGTCAATGGGAACTGCAGGGAGTGGCATGGACCACTGCTTCCCACAGTTCTGATTGGCTGGGAATGGCTATCCATGGCCAATGGGAGTTGCAATCTCCCATACCTGCAGAGGCACAGGTAAATATAGTGGCGGCCAATCAGGGGCTAACCCTGGGGAACCAGATCTGACCCGGAGGCTGGTACTTGCCTACTCAGGCTATAGACGGTCTCCTCTGTTCTCTTACAGAAGACTTTGCTTACTAGTTGCCTTTATATATTGCTCAAGTGCTGTGGTGATCATGTCTGTTTTCCAAGTTGCAGCAATTTGAGCTACAATTCATTTCTGCCTTTATTTATGATCAAGAGATAAGGCTCTATAGTTATGGGTTTTTCCCCCCCAAAAAAGGGGGGGTGATTCTGATGATCAAAATACCCTAACACTGTCTTGTACATAGACCCACATGCATATATTCCCCCCATATTTTAAGTGAATAGTAGCAGGGTGCTGTAACAATAGCATATGTTTATATAACTTTGCATTTTCATTAGCCATATAAATAGTGTCTTTATAGATAATATACTTTAGTTCCGCCACAGATTACTGGGCTTGATACATTCCTGGGTGAAGTCCCATAACACGTGTTATGCTGGAGGCTGGACTAGAAGTGTTCATAATCATATCTTTCAGCCTTAAAATTTATGGTTCTATTAGGATAATCCTTTTTGTTCCTTTGAAAATAGTGTATTGACTAAAAGTGTCAGATATTTTTTATCTTTAAGCCACTAAGCCAGGGATGGGGAAGCTAAGGCTTGGGGGCCAGATGTAACCCCTGGCTTGCATGGATCCACCCTCCGAGGCTTGGGATCCCCCTTCCTCCCCCCAGCGTTGGGAAGCCTGCACTGGCATTCCAGCCCGCTCTCCCCTGCCGTCTCTCTGTGCAGACCCCGACTGTACTTTTCGGTGGGTCAGGGGCCTCTGACCCAAAAAAGGTTCCCTACCCCAAGCATACAACAGGTGTTGATCATCTGATACTTTATAAACAAAATCATGCCTTGAGTTAAGAGGGAAGTTTCATGATGTCAGTGAAGAAGCAGAGGTTTTCTGAGAGGAGAAAAAGAGAGAGATTAAATTATTTTAATGGGGGAAAAAACTCATGTGTATTGAATGAAAGTGGGAAATTTAAAATCAAGAAATCACTTATTCCTAAAAGAACACTGTTGACTAGTAGCTCAGGTGTATAAACAGCCAATGATTCTGCAAAGACAGGTGTGGGGAACGTTTTTTGGGTTGGGTACCGCTGACCCACAGAAAAATCAGTCAGGGACCGCACACAAGCGAGAAGCCAAAAAAACCCCAAACCCTCAGTGATGTGCCCCCCCAACTAAGAAGGAGAAAGGCCCTCCCCACATTTCCCTTGCACACTAGAGCCTTGGGGGGCCCAGGTTTGGGGACTGGAGCACCATCACAGGCTCCCCATTACTGGGGGAGAGAGGAAGTCCCAAGCCTCAGGGGCTGGATCCAAGCAAGCAGGGGAGGCCCAGGCGTGAGGTTCCCCACCCCTGTGCAAAGATGCGGTTAAATGTATATGCTGTGAGTAGATTCACTAAAGCCCATCAGTATATGTGTGTATGTAGAAGCATGTGCCTAAAGCTTTATAGGATCAGAGCCTAAATGTGGAGTCACACTTGGGAAGCTTTAAAAAAATGCATGTTTCCTCCAAATCTGTAATTAATTGCATGTCATTATGGCTTGTCAGTCCTGTCCAGCTGGATTCCACAGTCACAAAATGAGATGCTATTCCTGTTACACAGAGTAATTCAGAATCTATGAGCACTGGTCTGCTAGTGCCACCAGTGAGGTAAACAGATGTAAACTGCATTGAAAAAACAATAGTGGGTTGTATTTTAATTGAGAATAGAGCAGAGAGGCTGTGCTACTCACAGCTGTTGAGACTAGCAAGGATGATGGCATATTTCCCAGGGGCCTACATATCCCTACATCCTTGACTTTTCTTAGGGCAAGTCTACACTTGAAACTTTAATGAAGACTCTCTAAGATGACAGGAGAGAACACTCCCGTCAGCATACTTAATTCACCTCCCCAAGCTAGTGCTGTCTCCCCTAGAGCTTAGGTAGGTATAACTATTTTGCTCCGGGGCATGGATTTTTCACAGCCCTGAGCAATGTACAATAGAACCTCACAGTTACAAACACCAGAGTTACGAATTGAATGGTCAGCCACATACTTCACTTGGCACCAGAAGCAGGCCCACTGACAGCTGTTCCAGGCCACAGGAGAATGGTCCATGGGTCCTGACACATGCATACATCATTCCCAGGCGGACGAGGTCAGCCTGACATTTGGGCAGTGCTGTACCTGTGTTGGCTGGTGCCTGGTGAGCTGCCAGCTGCACAGCTGGGTGTGCTCTTTGGTATGGCCAGGGCTTCCTCATACACACCTACTAGGGTAGAACTAACCAACTGTTTAATGGTAAAGACCCAGAGCTCCTTACCCCAGCTCCTGGTTCACTCCTTCCCTGAGGCCATACTCTTCCCTTTCTCTTCTCTGCTGACCCATCTTCTACTCACTCCATTCTCCTTCCTTCTGTTCCTCGCTCTCCACTATTCCCCCCCCCCGACACTTTCACCAGGCTGAGGTATGGAGTTGGGGCGCAGGAGTGGGTAAGGGGTCAGGCTCTGGGAGGGAGTTTGGGTGTGGAAGTGGATGCAGTCTATGACAGGGAGTTTGGGTGTAAGCTTTGGGCTGGAGCAGGAGGTTGGGGTACGGGAGGGGATCAGGAGTGTCAGCGCTTACCTAGGGTAGCTCCCCAAAGTGACCAGCACACATCTCTGACAAGGGTTCCTAGGCAAGGAAGGGGGTCTCTTAGGGTTGCCAGATGGTTTAACCAAAAAATACTGAATATCCCCCCCACCCCTCAAAAAAAAAACAAGTGAGCAAAAAAAAAAAAAAGTTGTCATGGGGAAAAAAAAACCCAAAATGCAAAAAAATCTAGCATAGTCCCTTTAAGGCCTTTGGGGGTTTTTGATGGCGGCCATCTTGTTTTCTTACTCTGTGCGGGAAGAGAGCTCCCCTGCGAAACCAGGTATGTTGGAGAGGAGTCTGGGAGGGGCTCTGGGGT